AATAGTGTCTTTTATGTAATTTGTAATATAGTAAGTCTTTGACATAGCTGTCAAGTCTCCCGTTTTGGCCAGGAAACTACCGTATTTTACCCCTCTTTCCCGCCGTCCTCCCGTATTAGTATTTTCCCGTAAATCTCCCGTATTATAATAACATAATAACCCTGTATTATAACGTAGGAATGTTCACAGCATTTCAATGTCAACAAAGGTAGGCCTATCAGATTCTGATCACCTAATTGTAGTTAGTAAGTGGTTGACAATTGGTTATTTTAGATTTCCTGTACACCTGTCTTAAAATTTAATGGATATTGGAGCTTGGTTGGGGTGGTGGGACGGCTCGCGGCGGGCGCCGGAAAATTTCCCTTATTTTCAGATCCAAAACTTGACAGGTATGATCTTTGATCCTGGTCAAGGTTAGACCGTTGACCATGTAATTTGTTATTTAACGGTTATTAAGCTTCGTCATGTTGACAACATTTATTAGTATTGTAAGTTTCCTTTGATTATGATTTTATTTATATTAAATAGTTTTACTGTGACCGGGCTTGTATCCCCCAGACCCCGAAGTGCTTGTAAGCAATAAACAGTCATCATTGAATCGACATCGGAGCGTCTGTGTGTCTTTGTCGGAGTCAACTGACGTTACTAACTGTTAGCCGTTAGTCCACCATCATTATCACAACACAATGCAGAGACTGTAGGCTGTCGCTATTATCAGCAATATAAAAGAAACTTAACGGGGGCATACATAGAAAAATAAATCACAACACTGGCCATTTTTATCACCTGCAAAGGGATTTGTGTAGATCCTAAGATTATACAATCATGTTACATACATATATTAATGATGATGGTGATTATATACCATATATTTACATTAAATTGTTCATTTGGACACAATAATAAGTCAAAAAAAGACGGAGCTGTCAGTTTTCCCTGTTTACATTTTCGGGTCCTAAGGCCGTCTGCCATTGGTTGATATTCTCTAAACTCTATAGAATTGTTTAATATCACACACAAAAAACTGTGTACTCTATCGATGGAGATCGATCAACAACACGAAAAACGCGTTCGGCCCACCGTCTAAGTAGGCTGATGTAAATAAGGGCTCCCAACTCCTTGTAAAGCACATTGACAGTTTAAAGTCCCAGTGTTGTTATATATCAATGGGTTATTGTTATAATTTTATCATATAATAATGTATTTCAACAACGGAACATATGAAAATGGAAACTTCATTGTTTTAATCAACCTTTGAGGCCATTCGAGTGGAGATTGACAGGTTTACGGGGGTGTATGAATGCACCATGAACAGACAGAACAGAGTTGGCCAATGTACAGTTGTCCCTGTCTTCGTGAGGATCTGTTTTAGTCTACTATATGCATCAGACATACCTTACCATAAAAAGAGATGAAGTCGCGCAAACGATTCTTGAAGAGCAGATCACGTTTCTCTAAAGAGCAGATGACCACAGTCTCCTGGAGCTCAAAGCTGGAAGGTATCAAAGTGCTGCAAAATGAATTTCAACAGGATGATACGAACTGCGTATAGGCCTTTTCTTTTTGCACATATGGAGAGAAAAGGTGTGGGAGCATCGTTCAGGTTCACTCAGACAACACGACACCTGATGGAACTGACCGGAGAGCAGCTGAAACTGACTGAGATCCATCTGAAAAGATATTTACCTCAGTCACAACAGGTGTGTCCCCTCACACAACTATAATACTATATTTATATTTTAATGGGCTTAGCCCACCTTGAGGACTAATATTAGCCTGTTATTATTTTTTGTTTGCTTTCTAACAAACATGTAAACGAATTCACTGTTTTAATACCTGATTAAATATTCTTTAGATTACAGTTGAACGATTTCTTTCATCTTTAAGGCTTATGGCTGTCTGGTCCTCAGAAACAGAGTCACATCAGACCCTGTGAGGGTTTTAGTGGACAGATGGCCAGAGTTCAATGTCATTGTCTGCAAACCAAAATATGAACAGGTAACTACTCATCTATGTGTATTATATAAATGCAAATAACGACATATATCTGTATGTATCTGTATATATACACACACATATATCTTCACATATTTCTTACAGAAGGGTGATCTCTTTAAAACTACAGTGGTTTTTGCAAAAGATGAAGCTGTTCTAGAGGAAACTTTAAGGAAGTCCTCTGTTATTGACTGGACCCAGTACCTTTGTGTTGGTAAGAGCAATAATAACGTTTGTTCTTTTCACTTCTTGAATAATGAGACTTAAGTTTCTCACATTTATTAAAAGCTTTTCTTTCATAACTTCTGTCCAAGATATCAATCTCCGCCATGCGGAGATATTCAAAGCAGTCGCAAGAGAAAAAGGCGTGTTCAGCAGCAGCCTGACAGTGAGTCACATGACAATACCAGATGTATCCAACCTTCCCTCTATAGACAGGTAACACCAGTGATATCTTTAGTGTCTACTGTATGACCACAATCGTTATCTTAGGTTTAGTAGTTCATTAATAAAGCAGGATTCTGCTCTGTAAAGCCATCTGCTCTGTTCTGCATCAGCTCGGGGATCTCATTAAGCTCTCTGGATGACTCACACGTCGACTTGGTGAATCAGATGTGGAGGTATGGGAGGAACGAGCAGACTGTCAGGATGATCAGAAACATGGTCGCAAACTTTCCCTCCTGCTGCGTGCTGGACGCAGAGGGAAAGCCTGTGTCCTGGATCCTCACCTTTGCATCCTGTGCAATGGGCGTGTTACACACTCTGCCAGAGCACAGACGAAAAGGCTACGCCAAGGTTGTGATCAGCACCTTGGCTAAGAGACTCCACGCTCAGGGCTACCCAGTCTACAGCTTCAGAGAAGAGGAGAACGAGGTGATCTACAGGCTCTTAAAAAGCATGGGCTTAAGTGAAGTCCCCTCACACCGGGAAGCATGTATTGTATTCAATGAATTTTAAATGTGTCAACGAAGAAGTCCCTTAAAATCACAGGCTGCTCTCAACATAGAAAAAGGGAAGGGGGAAATGCTAGTCAGAAATTAGGGGTAAAAAGCTTATGTTTTTAAGCCTCCTAGTGCATGGGAACATGTTGTATTTCCAGTCCAGGTTCAGTTGCCTCAATCTGAAATAACTTGTTTCATGAACATACCCAGGCCAGCCTTTGGGACTTCTGCGACCCTTCTCGTGTAATCAATCTACTGTTTTTTATCTCACAATAATCAATTTCTAGTTCCTAAAATGTTGAGGCAGAGGGTGCTGTCTGTAGCTCTGGCTTAGGGTCAGAGGTTGTCAGCAGATAGTTTGTTGAGCATGATAAACAGAGATCTGTGTGAGCACATGATCATGATCATGGGGAGTACCACCAGTTGGTCCAGGAGCTTCTCCTCCATGATGGCTGTTTCCAGACATATTTTAGGATGACTCAGGGGCAGTTTGACAACCTGCTGTCTATCGTCAGGTCGTACAGCTCTGGGTATCCAGCAACCGCTACCACCAGTTTCTCCTCCATTGTTTACCAACTCTAAACTTGTTGTCGTGACCACCACAGAAGGCCCACCTCTCAAATCATCCGATTTAACAATGGGGAAAAAGATGGCCGAAAAAAGAGATGATTCTGTGCTAAGTGTTGTTTTTTTTACTCGAGGAGTTCAGAGCGCTCTGGGAAAAATGCCAGGCGCAGAGAGCGCCGAAATGCGAGGCGCATCACAATGCAAAAAAACGCACAAAAAGCTTCATTCTCATTAAAAACAATCACAAAAGCCGCTTCTAGCTGTTGAAATGCTTTCTGTGTGATCAGGGCCTTTCCTGAGCCTGTTCTCTGGCCAACACGATGTTGGAGGGCCTGCTCTCTCCACAGGCCCTCTCGTCCCATGGGCCCCAGTGCAACCGCAATGCCCGCACTGTCTATATTTACGCCCCTGTTCCCCGCAATTTATTGAAATTTCTTAATCTATAGGCAACACAGACAACATGTTTTATACATCCTGTAAATCAAATCCAGTGAATCATATTTCTGTGTGTATTTTACATACTCATATCTTATTTTGAAAAGCAGAGGTCATCACATCCAGGGCTGAAAAAAAAGCCTTCTATTTAACGATTAAAGAAAAGTGAACTCAAACACTGATGAAGGAAACTATTGCCAAATATTATAAGATCAAATCATAAGCACATTTATTATTTATTTATTCATTTAACCTTGAAATATTGGTCAAATTGTGTGCAGAACTGAAAGTGTATAGAGAATATGGCTGTTAGCTCTCTGTTCTCCAGTCATACCCAATTAATGCAACTCCAAGACTGTTGAGGGACCCCACTACTTAGAAATATTCAAATACAACGCCACTTTTTCCCTTGCTAGGATTTAGTCTAACTTTGGAGCATTATTTAGCCCCCTACCAGACAAGGTAGCATGACATGGTAATGGATAGCAAATACCTTGGCATTGATGGAAACACAACACCCAGGTGAACGCACTAATTTTAGCTCCTTTACTGGCGAGGTGCAATGATGCCCCGCCACAAAATACCATCTGTCTCCACCCAAGTAGCACTCCAACATCAATCCAAATAAGTATGTAACGCATTTGAAACAGAGACTGAGTAACTAAGAGATATATGAAAAGAAGTAACCATCTTTAAGTTTTCATAGGCCTCATGCTCCTCTCTGCTGTTCACCTGTCCTCTGGCCAGTTCATGACTTTTGAGACACCAAACAAAAACAAAACCCAACACAGAAAGGCATTCTCATCTGCTGCAGAGCCAACCCCGTCTCACTCCAAGGTCGAAATCCGGCGCTTGGGCAGTGACTTAAGACACTCACAAAAAAGCCATCCTTTAACATCGGCACGATACCCGGCCGTTCGCCGTTATAGTTTAAAATATAACAGCAACTGGCTGGTTGTGTTAAGGGTTTCTATTTCAACACAACTAGATTACCCTGTGGAGTCCCGCAGGAGTCCATTCTTGGACCATTATTATTCCTCATCTATATAAATGATTTATCTAATGTCTCAAATATCCTTTCCACACTAATGTTTGCAGATGACACAACCCTTGTTCTTTCTGATTCAATTTTTGATTGACTGATGACAGATGCTAAAGCTGGTTTAACTGCCTGTGCTATATGGTTCACATTAAATAAATGATCTTTGAATGTATGAAAATCTTCCGGGGGTGACACAGTGGTGCAGTGGTTCCCACTGAAGAAAGGTCTGGTTTGAACCTGCCAGCAGGCTGAGGCCCGTGTGTGGAGTTTCCATGTTCTCCATGTGTCACAGGGGTTTCCTCCAGGTACTCCAGCTTCCTCCCACAGTTCAAAGACATGCAGGTTAATTGGTGACTCTAAATTGCTGTAGGTGTGAATGTGAGTGTGAATGTTTGTCTGTGTCCATGTCTCAGCCCTGTGATAGTCTGGAGACCTGTCCAGGGCACACCCTGCCTTTCAAGCAGTGCTAGCCAGGATAAATCTTCCCCGTAATGGCCACTTGCAACAATAATAATTTCTTCTCCTTTAATAAGACAACATACAGCAAACAACAACTGAGGAGGAAACAGTCCAAAAACAGAGAAAACACAACAGAACTGCTTAAAATGTCCTTTTAATAGACACCCACAGACAAATGAAGATAGAAAACATAGATTTGATACAGATGGAAACTTATTCTGATATATAAACCACCCCATTCATACAAACAAGACAAAACATGTTGCGATAAAAAAAAAAAGACCGGACATGATATTTACTGCAAAACAAAAGAGATATTCAGATGGAGCCATTCTCATTCGGCTGTGAAACAAAATCTGTGAATGATGTGTCTTAAGGCACAGCTGGCTCTTGCAGATCACAGTTCTCTGTCGGCATTCAGGCATAAAGTTGAATAAAATAAATACACATATCAAATAATAACTATGTAAGATGTTTATTTTAACAGCTTCAACTGACGAAAACTCCAGCCCTGCCTGCGACTGAGCTGAAATGACCAACCAATTAATGAGTCACAAAGACAAGAGATTTATAAGAATCAGTTTTGATAATCATTTGGTTGTTTTAGTCATTTTTCCGCAAAATCGTCTAATTACAGCTTCTCAAATGTAGTTATTCAGCGAGTCTTTTGTCATAGTAAACTAAATATCTTTTGGTTTTGGACGATCTGAATATGTCGGCTTGTGCTCTGGAAACTTGTGATGGAAAATTTTACTGTTCAGAACAATTAATTGGGAATTAACTGAGAAAATGAAAAATCAGAAAACGGATCAATATTGATAAAACTGTGAGCTGCAATCGTTCTCACTTCCAACTTGTCAAATACTGATGCTTGGTCAGTGGCCCGTCATGACTAGGCATCCATCCGGTGTCAGATTTGGATGTTCATGACTACACTTGTTACATGAATTTTGTCTTTTCAAAGTAAACTTCCACTTTCACAGGAAATGTACAGTTTCTGCTTGTTAAATGTCTACAGACTTTAAAAAATAAACTTAACACGGGTAAAAGGTTCACTTCCTTTGGTTTCGGCAACAAGAGTACATGGTTAGGTTTAGAACAAAACATCCTGGTTTGGCTTAAATAAGTACGTTTGTTTCTAATATAAAGTCACGTGATATGCTACACATTCTAGCACACTACATTGTTATTAAATATGCTTGGTTGACTTTTGGTTTCACACAAGACATGAACAGCGGTGTCAGGTGAAATTCTGCAGTTTGTTTGACCCATCGACCTCCCCTCCCTCCCTACGTGTCATCAAATGCTGCCACCCTGGGTGTCTCATACTGCTGCTGAAGGATGTCTCTGTACGTTGGCGTCTGAAGCCGATGGGCCACTCACCAAGCCCCAGTACCTGACAAGACTGGGACTGAGACCAGGTTGGTTTGTTGCAGCCCGAGTTCTTCTATGTATTAAATACAGAGTACAGAATACTGTTTGTCTCACTTTTGTTTTGTTTTTTTATACTTTTATTTTGAAATTTGGTATTTAATAGTGAAAACAATACAGTGTTTTTCAACACTATTATATATTATTATATTTAAATGCCATAAAGTTGCTGTTAATTTAAGACCAGAGTAATGATTTAATGTGTCAGATTGAAGTAAGAAAAATGCAAAAGCTGCCAACATATTAAAGTCTGGTGATATCTTATATGCTTCTTATTGTCACAAATCCCATAAAAAGGCCAAAACAACAATTAATTTATCCGCAAGTTTCTATCCGTAGTCTGATATTTCCTCTTTCTCTGTGCCACAGAGCTCCATTTTTGTCCCAAAATTATTAAAAAAATACTTTAATGAGCCGCATTGTTGCACTGGGTGACGTGTTCCTTCATCACCATGAACCCCCACACTTTAATTTATTTTGACTCAGTCCCACATACATCGTCCTGCTGCCCCAGATACTCACTCGTACACTCACATGTGGATTAATCTGCCGCTGAAAACAGTCCCCAACAAAATGCACTGTTCCCTCCTGTTTGAGATTCGTTTTTAAGGATTTGCATCTTCAGTGGGAACCAGTGGGCTCGGAGCTGAGTGCCACAGACAGGAAGTATTGTGAGTGAAATATCAAACTGGGTCAAAATCAAACTTGATCCATCAACCTATCACTTTAGGTACTCTCTCTCTCTTTTTTTTTTTACGTTAGCAGGTTGGAGGTTAAACTATCCACAGAAGGAACTGATTTTAGTTTTGACTCTTTCGATGTTCAGGGTTTAGTATCCTGCTCAATCAAACTAAAGGACATCATCAGCTCTTTAAATGTCTGACCACAAACTCTGGAAGCAGTTTAGCCTCGACATGCATAAACAGCTGTGCTAAAGTTAAGTTTGAAAAAATAGATAGATTATTATTTCTGATTTTAAAAGCATAATAATTCAGTTATTTTCTTAAATAAATGCAAAAACATATGTTTTATCTATTTTAAGAGCTATTTGTCAAAAATAAAGCGCACAAGTGAATTACTGGCATCATGTAAATGCAACTGAATATGTAACACTATGTTTACAATCTAAAGATGAATTACAATTAACCTTCTTTGCATTGGGACTAAATAATTGATGAATTACTGTCAGACGCTATCACCATCTTGCCAAATTACAACTTGTAGTTTGAAGTAATAAAACTTTTAAAAATGTACATCATGAAGTAGAAGGAAAATCAACATTATGTAGAAAAATGTATTTTATGGCTGAAATCATCATGATTTCAGTTTGCACTGCATGTGACTTCTTTTATACAAAAACATAAGATAATTTATGTTATTATTACAAGTTAGAGAAGTGGTAGATTAATGTGGAAATAACATCCATTGGTAACAATACACCGATGCAAATAGGGATTAAAACCAGTGCTGGTTTTCTGTCATTCATTCAACATTATATTAATGTTCAATCTCTGATGTGAGAGGAATCATAAAAAATATATATATATATTTCTCGTGTTTTGTAAAGTATACAACCTTTTCATAATCATTACAGATTTACAAAGATATCAGGTAGGTACAGTTGCCCGTTACATGACTAAAAATCATACGAACATAGCAAAATAAAGCACCATAGATTCACAAAATCCATAATATACAAACACATACATGGAGAATGATATAAAAACAAAGAAGCAGGAATAAACTAGTGTGTTTTGTGAAGACCTGCAACAGTGTAGTGTTGCAAGATTAGACACTTAAACTACAGATACATGTTAATCATCCCTATTGTACATTGTTAAAAAAGAGTGAGGCTGTTTTGGTCAAGTGTGATGCTGAGTGGTTAAACTTTAACCAGGAAGTTGCTGTAGTGATCGAGGCTCTCTGAGTGATAAGAAGCCTCAGCAGAACTACTGTAAGGATTGTTTTTCTCATCCTTCTTTATAAATCCTCTTTTCATTTCTATTCTCTCTGTCTTCTAAATCTCCACCATCTCTGTTTGTGTCCATCCTCATCAACTCATAAAGTATGAAATATCATGTGTCATGTTTACAGGTTATACACACATATTTTGGTTGTGTGAGCCCAAACATGATCAGCAGTGTTATAAAAGCAATGCAGACAAACAGTGTAAAACTTGCAACTTGCAGTATAATCAACTGATTTTATCTTATAATGATATATTGTTGAGTTATGCAAAACTGCTTTGCAGAAATGTCAAAAGTATCTGCATTACATCTTTTGACCACCAGATGGCACTGACAAAGTAGTTCTCGTGCTGTAATGTCAGTTCATTGATCGGCAAATTTAAGGGATCATCATCATAAATCTTTATGTTGTGTGTTTAAGTTAAAATTAGGATATTGGCCAATATATCGATATCAGACTTTTGAAATACTCAAATGCAGATATTGGTATCAAGTATTAGTGTGAAACATGCAGCACATAAAGTGATGATGGTGCCTTCCAGAACAATTTGGTGGTATTAAATATGAACATTTCAAGCTTTATACAATGACGAGGATGACCCGAACGCATCGTCACATCCTTTGTGTCTCTTTCTCATTCTTACTCCAACTTACATATGACTGACCTGTGTTTCTGTTGGAGCACAGCTGTTGGCATGTCTCAAGCTGCTCTTCAGGATGCCTGAAATCTGGAGGGTTTTTTGCCACACCAGAACTACAGTTGATCTGATAACATATCAGACCCATCCACATCAGTGCAAGTCCAGTTGTACAGTCAACTTGTTGCCTGTTTCATGCCTTGACACAAGTTGGCAGCGTGTTTGAGTTCCCTACTTTGTGATTTCTGGAAACGTGGCCTCGATCGATCACTTCAGATCAGATCAGAGTATTTCTGTTTGCTTCAGTCCACTGAACCTTCATGTCCCAGGAAACCTGTGACAATCCAGAACACAAACCTCCGCCTATGTCTGTGCGGTCACCTGTCTGTCCACCCATCTGTCTGTGGTCATATCCCCTCCCTCTCCCTCCCTCTGTGTCTTGGCGAGGTCGCTAACAATAGCCAGGGCTCCTCCTTTCAGGAACCTGACAAAGTTCTCGCCGACTAACGGCCCCATGGCGTACAGGCCCGGCCCCTCTGCTGCAACAACTTTGTTCGTGAAGGGGTCCACCTCAATGGGGTTCCTCCGGCACGTGATTGGCTCATCGGGGTTGATGCCAAGTGAACGGCCATTGTCACCCAGAAAGGAAAGGTTGGGGTGGGCGCCGATCAGAACTAGCGCCTTGGAGATCTGGACCACCGTCTGCTGGCCGGATTCTGACTCCAGAATGCACTTCTGGTCGGGTCGGAACGCCACAACCCTGTGGCGTGGGAAGCTCAGGTAACCCTGGTAGGAGGAGGGGGATGAAGGGGTGGTGACGGAGGAGGGAGTGGAGTGGTCATGGAGGTTTTGGGCGTTTTCCAGTGGTGGAGGGCTCGGCCGGTACTGCTGCTGAGTCATCATCTGGTGAACCTGGAGGCCAAAGATAGGAAAGAGTTGGTTAGATGTTACATAAGTCTTTAGCTCTGACAGCTCAAAATGTCACGCTTTAGTCAAATTATCATTGACCAATCAATCAATTAAGCTTTTCACTCATTTATCAAGCATTTGGATTTTCTGCAAGATGTATAAAGACTAAATAAGAAATACAGGCTGTAATCTTCTCCTTACTGGACATACTGGTGCAAACATTGAAAACTTGATACATGGGATTTCTTTATTTTTGTTAGGAAATGTGAACCTTTTACTTAAGCTACTGAATATTACAAATGTTACTGTTAATATTTGAAAACTATCAGCAGCTCCAGGTAAACCCTCCTCACCTTGTGGTACTCTGGGTAGAGCAGTTTGGGAAGCTGGTTAAAGATGAGGCCGGGGTCGGTGACTGAGCGTCTGAAGGCGTGGTAGACAGGTGTGTTGAGATGGTGGGCAGCCAGTACAGCATCAGCTGCTGTAAGCCCCGCCCCCACCACCAGCACTGGATCTGATGATTGGTCAAGCTCGCCGCGGGAGATGGCTGCCTCCAGCTCCCAGAAAGAGTGGCAGACGTAGGGCAGGGACTCGCCCTCCACGCCGAGCCTGGCTGGAATGTCGTGGGTTCCCGTCGCCAACACCACGTTGTGGGCCAACAGGGAGAAAGGTACTTCCTCTGACACAGCAGGGCCATCTAGCAGAGGGAGATACAGGGGTTAATATGTGTCACTTCTCTTTATATTTGCATGCTACAGCAGTATTTAGGAGTGTATTCATTCACTGTACCTCCCAGCTCTTCCCCCTCTCTGCGCTGCAGTCCCATCACTCTCCAGCAGGGTGGAGATCCCTCCTGGTTGCCAGGCTGTCTGGTTACCGTGGTGACGGTGGTTCCACATGCAAAGCTTTGCTCCAGAGACATCTGGGAAACATAGTGCTGGTAGTAGGAGGCTATCTCTGCTGGTGTGGCACGGTCATTTCTAACATTTCTGGAATAAAATGAACATGAAAATACCTTTAAATACAAAACGCACACAGATTTGTATAAATAAAACACAACAAAGGAGAGTTCTCTGTATATCAACAAGGCACAGAGGCTATTAATTCTATTTACAGAATATTTACTGAAATCTATTCAGTTTTATTCAGTTGGTTTTATTAATTAAACACATGTATATAACAGTTTTGAAGATTACTAGGTGTTACTGTAAGTAAAACAAGTCTGAACAAGCTGAACAGGAAGTGTATGGGTTCCCAAAAGGAAAAACGCTTATCAAGGCAACTGTGATGTCAACAGCATTTTATGTCGATCAAATGGAGCTCAGCGGGAAGTCATTTGAAAAACAAACTAAGGACAGAGTAACGCATGAACACACCCTATTTGCTCTGTGGCTCATGTTTCTTTATGTAGTACTTCACTATTTTGTCTGGTGATCCTGGTGGTGTACTGAGAGAGGGCTTTAATCCATGTAGTACAATCACAATATTCTTTCTGTGGCCACTAACTGGCTTTAACATGAGCGCAAACTTAACTTTTCAAAACGGTAAATTTAGGACAAGTGGGGTATTTACGGACATATTTTATTTAATTTTTTTTAAGATTTTTTTTGGGGCATTTTTGCCTTTATTGGACAGGACAGGTAAGCGTGAAGGAGGGAGAGAGAGGGGGGATGACATGCAGCAAAGGGCCACAGGCTGGATTCGAACCTGGGCCGCTGCGGCAACAGCCTTGTACATGGGGCGCCTGCTTTAACCACTAAGCCACTGACGCCCCATTTACTGACATATTTTATGTCGTAGAACAAAACATGAAAGTCTCTTAAGCCTCTGTTAACGACAGACCTTATTTCAGGCATCTAACCAAAAACCAGTTTTAAAAAAAGCCGTTGACTTTGAGATGAAATGTTTTAGCTAACAACTTTATGTTCAAGTTGTCAATTATCTAACAACTCTGTTCAAGCTGTCAGTTAGCTAACAACTTTTAACTTCAAGATGTGAGCTAACAAACAAATTTAGGTTGCCAGCTAGCAAACAACTTTTTTTGCAGGTTGTCAGTTAGCCAATAACTTTGTTAACGCTTTCACAACCAAATAGCTTTCAGGTAGTTAGTTAGCTAGTAACTTAACGTTCAGATTGTCAGCTCGCTAACAAACTTGTTCAAGGTTTCAGTTAGCTAACAGCTTTTGTTCAGGATGTCAGCGAGTAAACAACTTTTAAGTTTGCGAAACTTGCGAGCTAACAAAAAACTTAAGGTTGCCAGCTAGCAAACATCTTTTAGCTTCAGGTAGTTAGCAAGCTAGTAACGGATTGTCAGCTAGCTAACAACTTCTTGTTGTTGTCAGCCAGCTAACAATTCTGTTCAAGTTGTCTGTAAGCAAACAACTTTTAACTTCAAGGTGTGAGCTAACTAACAAATTAAGGTTGCCAGCTAGCAAATAACTTCTTGTGCAGGTTGTCAGTTAGCCAACAATTTTGTTAACGCTGTCACAAGCAAACACCTTTTAGCTTCAGGTAGTTAGCTAGCTAGTAACTTAACGTTCATATTGTTAGCTAGCTAACAACTTTCGAGTCCAAGTTGTCGAGGTCAAGGTTTCAGTTAGCTAACAACTTTTGTTCAGGATGTCAACCAGTAAACAACTTTTAAGTTTAACTTGCGAGCTAACTAAAAACTTGAGGTTGCCAGCTAGCGAAAGGACTTTTTGTCCAGGTTGTCAGTTAGCCAACAACTTTGTTAATGCTGTCGCAACCAAACACCGTTTAGCCTCAGGTAGTTATCTAGCTAGTAACGTAACGTTCAGATTGTCAGCTAGCTAACAACTTTTAAGTCCGGGTGGTTGACTAGCAAACACATTTTTTTCAAGCTGTCAGCTAGCTAACAAACTTGTTCAAGGTTTCAGTTAGCTAACAACTTTTGTTCAGGATGTCAGCCAGTAAACAACTTTTAAGTCTAACCTGCGAGCTAACTAAAGACTTTTAGGTTGTCGGCTATAATTTCTTGTTGTAGTTTCTTGTTGTTAGTTGAAGTTGTTAATGAGCTTACAATTTTTTGTTTGGGTCATCAGTTAGTTGACAAGTTGTTTTTTTATTTATTTTTGGGAGTTTAACCCTGCTGTGTATTTCACACATATGAGGAGTGGTTCAGACATGTACGGTTAACTGTGGACCGACCTTCGTTTCTCTCTCATCCAGTCCTTCAGTTTGAGTCCAGGAAGCTCCATCCAGTTAGCCAGGCTCAGAGTTAGCATGGAGCCCTCCATAGCCTGAGAACAACAGACACACAAAATCACCCAACTGTACTGATCTGCTATAATGTTTTCAATGTATTGTATGAAAGACCTAAGTTGTAAAGATTTCAGTTGTTAGATTGAATCAAACTCTTGTGTTCATACAAATGTAGATCTGCAGTCATGTTTGCATTGTGCATATGGCAGCGTTAGTGTGTGCAGAAACAGCAGCTGACAGGGAAAGCAGAGCTTATTTGCACATATCACCATGTCTGCTAAGTAAATTGCCTTCACATTCATATTTAAAGACAAGGATCCTGTTGTTTAATGGGTTTTGGCACATCAGTACATTTATGAAAGATAAACATAAAACTTTAAAGGTATTAACTGCCAATTAAAAAAAAAAACGATATATATTCTTGAAGCCCTACATTTTAAGTGGATCATATTATTCCTGTTCTGTGCTGTAATCTGAGGGTAAACCCATAACTATTAATGCAACCATTTTGAAACACAGATAATTGACTTAACAAAATAAAATAAGTGCTTTTGGAGTTTAACAAGACTATCACTTCATCTATGCTGTGTTAAACTCGGTTAATACCACGCTGCTTTCACTAAAAATAATTCTGAAATACTAAAAATAGACAAATAATCAATGATCTATAGACAACCAGTACTAGCTACATACATGCCAGGCTCCTCCGGGCGGACCCTTCCCCAGCACCAGGTGAGGGATTGCACGCTCTGGCTCATAACGCCATTCCAGCGGAGAAGTGTGGTCCAATCCAAAGTCACTGTCGGGGAGCAGCAGTGAGTCAAAGAGCACAGCCACGGGATTGGATGATCGGCCCTCCAACCCTTCGCACAGGTACTCCAGATCCTGAAGAGACAGAGGGCAACAGACACTGTGAGGCAGTGTTCACATTATAAACAACCTATTGTATATGTGCGTGCTTGTGTGTTACCTGCTCCAACAGTGACAGGTGAGGCTGCTCCTCCAGCTTGCTGTGCAGCAGGGGGTTGGGGTGCGATGCCTCAGGTGACAGGTAGGGGGTGTAACCTGACAACAGGTATGACAGACAGATCCCTGATGGGCCATTACCTGAGAAACAAAGGGAGAGGGAGACAAGTGAGATTCAGTGGGACTGCTAGGCTGTTGTAGCTATGCAATGTGATTGGTTTCCAGTTGCCCTGGTAACCCACACAATGCTTTAACAGCTGTGTTACTGTGTGCACAGCGTTTTTGTACTTTGTTGCACCTGCAGTAATCAGTGAGTTTGTTTATGGTCTGTCTTCCGTCTTTTTATGAAACTCTATCTGAAGGAACAGATACTGTAGAAAACAGAAACAGCCACAGCTAAAAAAAAATCTCTCTATTGCACAGTCACTGACTAAGCATGATATAAAACTCATTCAGACTGCAGTGTGACACAGCAAGTTGAAGTACCACGAATTAATCTGCACAATGACTCAGCGAAAAGCACGCACACAGAAGCCAAATGCAAAGCAGTAAAAACTCTTAGTCGCCTGCTCATGATGACTAATGGATATCACGCTTTCACTTCTTCAGAGGCCAGCTGACAGCAAATTAAATGCTGACGTCATTTGCACACAAATTTGTTTTTTATTTTTTTTAACAAAATAGTAATCTAACTTCATATTTTAAAGACATACTTTACATTTTGTAGGTTTACATAGTAACCCTGAATTCTGTCAGTGAGTCTTTTATCTGTTCAAAAACTTAACAGTCATCATCTCTCTGCTGGTGAGCTGCAACCTCATAATTTTGTCAAACATTGCCTCATCCACTTCCTGCGGCAGCCAATGCCAACACCCTCTATGTAGTAATTATTAGCAATCACTGTGTGAACTTGCATCTCACCCTTTTCTTTAAAATCTGTTGCTTGACTCCAACTGCTGTTTTACTATGTTGTAATAATGAATCTTTTATGACAGCTGGGCAAAAAAAAACCTTCTTTCATCTTCTTTATCATCTTTTGGCAAATCAAAATGACTGATGTTTTATTGGTGGGTTTAGGTGAAGGTAGGACAAAGGGAGTTGTGCTGTTTCATAGTTAGCTACACATACTGTAAGGTATCAACCACCTAAGCAAATCTAGTGCGTCTCCTTTAAGGTTTCCCACTGCATGATCAAAATGATGAAGTACGGTTTTGCATGTGTGCACGTGATGTGTGTGTTTCTTACCAATGATCACCACAGGCAAAATCTCTCCAGGGAGAATTTCTTTATCATGAAGATCCATTTTGACTGAGGAGAAAAAAAAAAAGAAGTTATTATTATTATTATTATTATTACTCTGGCAACATCATTACCAAGTTTTATCACCACTATTATCTAAGACTGAGAGAGTGGAATAAGGGGGAACTAGTTAATCATTGCTAAGCCAGTCACCGACCACAATGACCAGCCAGTACATTTCCACTGCGCACACACGCACACTTCCCCTGTCTAACCCCATAGTTTAACATAGCAACATTACCTCGAGTAAACAAAGACACTCAGATATGGCGGTTCCACAGACACTTAAAAGCCATGTGCGTTACCTGAGGCAGAGATGAAAGACGAAGATAACACAAACTACTACTACTACACTACTAATACAGATGTAGAAATATTTTCACATTTGAAAACAAAAAAATCCTGAAGGTCTTGCTGTTAGGAGGTTATATAACTTGTCTCTGTGCATGCAAATGTTTATTTTTTCTGCTCTTTCTGAGTTTAGATAAGGACCTTGTTTGGACTTGGTCTTCATTCAACAACTTATAAGTATGACTGATAATAACTCATCGACGCATCACATGATTTATACCAGCCAGGGTCGGACACACGGTACAGTTTATTCAACTAATCCCAGGATGACAACAGCTCAGTTGGCATGCAGGCTGCAGTGCGATCATATTCCACCACAATCTGCATGTGCACAATGAAGTGCTCCTCCTTTTCTGAGGTTAAGTTTCACCCAGTTAAGAAGGTTCACGTGTATTAAAGGTTCTGTATGTAACTTTTTACATGTATTAAATGTTTCTATTACCAATAGGTGAACTGGTTGTAATGTAACTTCAGAACTGAGACGCTTACAGTGTGCAACGGTGGCTAACATTAGCTAAAAAAATTGAGTATCCTGACGTCAACAAACGACTGGCAGCCATCACAACGCAGAGTCCACACATGCTGTTTCCGTGATATACATTTTGCATAATTTCAGTGCCATCTGCTGCTGAGAAGAAATACTAACGGTAGAGGAATGGCTGACATCTGAAATATGTTGTGATATTGTGGTTTTCATGGCTAATAGGGTTGCAAAATTATACTGGTTTTAAGGTTTGCCAGGATACTAAAATTGACGGTTATCGTACATTTACTTATCTACGATATTGGAAAAAAAATGCAACTGGAAAGGAAATCTCAACTTTATTTCAGTTATCCTCAAGAGGGAGAGCTACACATAGCTCCATCAAAAATGGTTTCAGGTTTCAAATATAGTACTACGTATGTTTTACCAAAAATAACCGGTTTTAATTTCTTTAAGTGTCATTCTGACTGATAATAATAATTCTGTCATATGTGATACCATTAAACCAGGATATTTTCAGTGGGGGGTTATTGTACCATGAAAATCTCATACCGTTGCAACCTTAATGGCTAATGTTAGCTAACATTAGCTTGCTCACTAATGTGGCCCAATTGCAAGCTAGCTTAAGTATCAAAATCCTGTCTTGGGTGATAAATGTTATCAACTTCATTCAGACTGATCTGGCTGATAAACTGGCTCGTTTGCAGTTTGCAAGCTTCTTTATCAGCCTACATTACGAAGCAGCCGACACCAGATCCATTTGGTGTAGCTTATTTACAGTTAGCTGGCTAACCTTAGCTTGCTTGATTGCTAATGCTGTTGCAAGCAAAATACTAAGTGGCTATGTGAGTAGGCTAGTTTGCCAAATTACTTCTCTGGCTGATGTGATATATGATACTAACTTATGTGTTATGACAAATGGTATTAGTTTAGGAAACAATAAATGATGGTACGGTACCTGAGCTAATGTTAGCTAGCTTGCTGTACCTTAGCTTGTCTACATGTTCGCTCTTACCATCAGCTAATAATGTATTTTGCCAATGGAAAGCTAGTTTGTATCATGGAGCCTATGGTCCAAATGAAATATAGGAACACTGCACATGCCCAGTTGAGCTCGAGCATCTGAGCACAAGCAACAGGATGCTTTTTGCAGAGATGGTCTCAGAAAGCAGTGTTGCTACTAACAAGGATTTTCTTTAAGTTACACATATCCTTTAAAATAACACATCAGCAGCTGGATGAAACTTTGGGGCCTGCTGTGTTTGCAGCAGAGAAACACGACTGGACAGCTTGAATCTGACATTGAAGGCTGAACCTGGATCTTCTTTCTTTTCTACAAAAACTCAGCGATGATTCACTGAATAAAAGCATCCTGGCAACTGTCACAAAGATTTCACAGGGTCAGCAGAAAGGATGCCCACTCTTTCCCTCGCTTTGTCTTGCTTTCACCACCCGCCATAAAAGAGGACTGCTGATGAAGATAAAGAAAGATAAAAGAGCTTTACAGTAATAGTGTCTGAAATGAAAATGTTGCTTTTACTGAGGAACTACCTAATCAAAGGAGAAGTAAAAAAGATAAATAATCTGCCAGACATTGGATGCCAACTTTTGGTGCATGGCAGTTATTGATATGGTACGCTGAGGTCTCATGACCAGCCCAAGGGACAAGTTGACCGGCAACATTCAGAGCAACAATTTGTATTTTTCTTGTGCACAAACGCTGAATACTCTTAAATCTCATTGTTTGTTTCTTTTTGCACAGAAAGAAATTCTTTGTCTCTCCTCCTACATATCAAAATCCAGCTGAATGCAACACGTTGTAGGGAGTGTTTGTGGTGGCAGGAGGGGTTAAAACATCGACAACTGAGAGGGTGGAACATTAATATAAACTGCCGTGATGTCAACCGTGATCTCGTGCACACACTTGCAGAAGGACGGGGGCGGGTTGGGCAGAGGGCAGTGGTGCGTGGCGGCAGTTTTTCAGAATCTGCAGAGTCATGCTTACACAGACAGACAGAGAGTACAACATGAAGTCAGAAAGTGAAATGAATGAAAGAAAAAGATGAGGTGGGGAAAGTGAAGAGAAGAAGGAATGAACCGGATCCAGTGGGAGACAGAGAGAAGTTTGGAGAGCGATAAAGAGTGTTACATAAGAGCAGTGCAGGGGTTGGCAGCAAGTCAGGACCAGAGTGTGTTTCATTGCCAAAGGCTTTACAGGACAGCGCTCCCCCCTCCACACACACATACTGTACATGACTACGTGCAGCCCTACTGGCCCAGTTTCCTCATGGAACTGATTTGACAGGCTAATAGGTTTTCCTTTGTTTTTTGGCAGAAAAAGCAAAAGACGTTGCCCAAGAAAAGGAGACTAACATCAGCCTTACAGTAAAGAGACACAGTCATCAGAGTCACTGTGGCCCATTGTTGTCTGTGTTTATTATATTTAAAAAAAAAATGGGCTAAATTTTAAGCATCTGTCTTCAATTTTCGATTACTGGAGACATATCAGTAGTTTAATGGCTACTGCAAAATTGACGATGCATTGTGTTTGTTACCTTTGGCCTTCCTGCCCTTAAGGTTTTTCCTCTCCCTGCAGCAATCGTTATTAAGAGTGCAGAAAATCCAGAACTTTCACGTATCTGTGTCTGTATGTTGGTTAAAGCACCAGTTCACTTAAATCACCAGTCATCTTTTCCCAGTTAATTTCCCACTACACCTTCCTCACAAAACTTGTCATGATAAGATTTATGAACACCATTTTTTCAATGCCTTGAGCACCGAGAAAGGAATTTCAGTCAGCATCACTGTAATCTCAAAAACAAAATGTCTTCCTGAAAATTCACTGTTAGGTAACAAATTTGTTTTCCTGTTTTGTGTCCGTGCAAAGGGCTTGTCAGCAGACACTGAAATATGTCCTCAGATAATACCTCATCTAGCTACCATCTAGATGCCAAATGCAGATGAGAAACCACAGTAAGCTTCGGTTTTACCTCTTAGTAAAAAGCTTACAATACCTGTAACAACGACACAGCACTTCTTCCTTCACACATATTTGTGGGCGGACACACATGCGATTGCTCCAGTCAGTATTTTGTAACACCATCATGACAAGTCATTACAAAACAACCACAAACACACGTGACTTCTTCAGATGATGATGTAAGTCTTTATATCAGATACTTGCACTTAAATAATCAAACTGTCATCAGCACATAATAAAAAAAGTTTGATTAAGAAATCAAACCACCGACTCAAGACCTCAAAAGCAGATGTTGAATTTAAATAAAGACCTTTCACACAGATTTTGCAGTTAGAGACACACCTAATGACTGTATGCTTTATCAAACGCCTGGAGTTTTATTTTCTTCTTTACGGAAAACCTGTTTAGGCAACATATTTTCTGCACTTCTGAAGATTATGACACATCTTTATGACACAGTATTTTTTATTCAGTGAATGGACATTTGTAAAACACTGAAAAGGAGGCTCCAGCCCTCACCATCAATGTGACTCTCACAGGAGTCATATTCCTCTGCTGCAAATATAGCAAAGCCCAAAGTCATATCCAGCTGCTGGTGTTATTTTAATACACAGACACCTCTTCAATCATAGTCATCTTTTATTCTATGAAACGCCCTCTTTGACTCTGTCTCCATATGGCACCTGCACTGACGCTCTCCTGAAGTCATCCTGCGGCTGGACGGGCCATCTGCCACCTGCACCAACCAGACAGCTAATGAGATTTTAATTATCTGCCCACTGAACGAGAAACCGCCTGCTGGAATCTACAGAGGCTGTCGGAGTCCATTTGTAAACCTAATAAAATCCTGTGTGGTGATACAGACTGTCTCGCAAAGATAACTGACCATTAAATATACTGGTCTGGAGAGATTACCCCATTAGCAAATATTAAATGATTTAAAAATACTTGTTTTTATTAAGCACTAATGACAAACATTCCCTGGGGGCTCATCGGATGATTTAAGGGGCAGACAATAGGAAAAATGTTTCTGTTCAGGAATTTTATTTCATTTTTCTGAGTTTTGCCTTTTCTCATAGAATACTAAGTAATTTGAAGTCTTCAGGCCTGAAAAAAATCCTTCAAGTCATAAGATCTGGGGCGGAGAATAACACTGAACTGCTCACAACTCATATCCAATACAATTCAATTCAGGCAGGACTCTGACTTGTAAGGGCAGTGGTGGAATGCAACCAAGTGCATTTACGCAAGCACATTTTTAAGGTACTTGTACTTTACTTGTACATCCATTTTCTGCTACTTTGCACTAGTACTCCACTGTATTTTGGAAGTTTAAAACGGTTCCTTTGGCTCCACTAAGTTAGATCTATTTGACCAAAGTTACTTTTCAGATTCAGATAATTAAAACAAAATATAAATCAGCTTATAAATTATCTTATAACTAACTAAAATCTGCTCCATTTTTAGCTGCTACAACATTAGAGTGATGGAAACATTAATGAATTATTAACTATAATACAGGAGTCCACTGTAGTACTGCTGCTTTGACTTGAGTAAAAGATCTGAGTACAAGTATTAATTAGTAATAGGATAATATGGAAATGCTCCACACTCAAAATCCTGCTTAAATTAAAGTACACAAGCAAAATGCACTTAAAATATCCAAAGTTAAAGAATTTATTATGATGCTTATTCATGATTATATGATTATTTAGTGGACTCTCTTGTTACTCTGTATAGTTAGAATGCATGACTGTATTTACTTTGCTGTATTAATACTTATACTTCTTCCACCATCGCTGTCTATTGGCTGAATGCATCAGGAGACACTGGGAGAACTGCAGTGTGTCACTGGAATGACTGGTAATGTAACCAGTCCGTCTGTCTGTCTGTGCATAGACCACCCACCCACCGGTCACATCACGTCAGTGTGAGCTGAGGACACTGACCCACACACTCATCGTTAACGCACGTTTTGATGAATAAGTCAAGCTTAATAACGCGGTCCTGACTCATCTGTAGCACACTCCCCCGTGCCCCTAACGCACGCGCCGGTTAATATGAATTCAAGATGGTTACTCACAGATATTTCCTAGTGATGCGGCTCTCAGCGTCCTCTTCCAGGTACCACTTGAAAATAATATTTTAGTCTTTCCTCTCTTCTTCTTCTTCTTCTTCTTCTTCTTCTTCTTCTTCTCACTCACTCATGTCGCAGTTTTGTCTCACGCTCTTTATTCGGTTTCTTCCGTTAACACGTGCGAGGTGACCTGCAGCTGCCGCTCAGAGCTGCACATTCACACATTATATACCGCTACACGCAGTCCGGCCCGCCAGCCAATCAGCAGCGACCTACGCTCCCGGCACTTCAGCCCCGCCTCCTGCCAGCAGCCGCTACGTCACTGGTGCAAAGATCGTCGATGAGCGCGAGATGGAGAAAGCACCAGAAAGACGAGGGTGATGTAATCGACGGAAACAGCCGAGTGCTCCTGTTCGGTGAATTCCGGAGGAGGAAGAAGTACTGAGGTATTTTAAAAGTACCACAGTGTATTAATACTTCGTTACAACTAGCAGCCCTGCATTAAAAGATTTTATTAGAGTTTTGGTGTTAATAATACAAGTGAGAGTATCGAAATATATTTATATTAGTTATGCAGAATGGCTCAAAATAATATATATTGCTGATTATAATTATTATATTATAATAAATTATTAGAATAATTATTTATAATTATTGCATCAATGTTTTTATCATTTTAATTTTGCATCTAGTAAAGCTGGAGCTAATTTGATTATTTAATATACTGCTGTAATGATAGGTGCCAGCATAATTCATTAGGTAATTTATATTTTGTATTAATAATTTAAATCTGCACTGTAACTAATAAAACTCTTAAAAATCTGTCACTGCGCAAAACAATAAAATAAAATAAAGATGCTTCTTTATATTGAGTTGAAATGAAATTTGAAAAATGTTGTTTCCTCAAAAGGAATTAATAAAGTACATCTTATAAAAGTACAAGTAGCTCAAAATCGTACTTAAGTACAGTACTTGTGTAAATTACCTGGTTAATTCCATCACTGGTAACTAAGTGCATTTACTCATTTATTGTACTTAAGAACAATAATTCAAAATTCAGCTTAACTATTTAAATTCCTTGCCACTTTACATTTTAGAGGTAAATATTGTTCTTTTTTACTGCACATTCTTCAAACATCTTTAGTTACTGCAGATTAAGATTTTATGTATAAAACACACGATGAACCTGATAACAATGGGATATGATTTGTATGTTTAATATATTAAACTACCCAACAGTGTATAAAATAGTTCATATCAGCTCCACCTTGACCAGCTGTAACACTCAAATACTAACTGCACATGAATCAGTTACAATAACATGAAGTTTAATACTGAAACACACACAGGAGTCTTTGTGTCATTTTCATCATTATTAGTACTTTTACTTTTGAGGTTTTAAGTACATTTTGTTGATAATACTTACTGTACATACATGTACTTAAATGACATTTTCAGTGCAGGACTTTTACTTGTAATGGAAAATTTTCAGTGGTGGATCCAGTTTGTGGTATTCTATTTATTATAGTAAGTGGTTGTTACAACTGATGATGACGATGATGACGTATTATTTAGTTAGAGGGTTGTTCAGGCCGATTCAAAATTTGGACAGAGTGAGAGCTCCTTCTTTTTCTGTCCTCTCAGATGGTCAGACTGGCCCTGAGGCAGAGCACTTCATAATAAGAGTTGGGTCAATTTTCCCCTGTGGTCACTTTGGTCCAGACTGAAATATCTCAACAACTGTGCGATGGATTGCCATGAAGTTTTGTACAGATGTTCACTGTCCCCAGAGGATGAATCTTACTGAGTTTGGTGTTTCTCTAAATTCTGTTTTAGCGACACCAGCTGATCAAAGTGCTCAACTATCCAGTAATGTCCCAAGATCTGCAGAGTGGATTGGCACAAAATTTAGTCCAGACTTTCATGGTTCCCGGATAATGTATCCTCATGACTTTGATGACCCCCTGACTCTCCATCTCGTGGCAGCAGCAAGGTGAAATTTTGGTTTGATTTTGGTTAGTTTTTGAGTGAAATGTCTCAACTAAGATGGATTATTGTGAAATTTGGTGTAGATATTCATGTTCACCGTCAGGGTGAATTGTAATAACTTTACTGATCCCTTCACTTTTCATTATTAGGTCAAGATCTGGGATTTTTTAAACATTTTATTTATTTATTGCTAACAAACATTTCCCCCTATTCTTTTGTCATTTATTAATTTATGTAGCCTACTGTTATTGTCATAAGAGTTTTTACATGCCTGACAGCAGCATACGCCTCCGCTGTCCTCTTGTCACAACTCTTGTTTCTCTCTGGCTCTGGTTCCTGGCTCTTCCCATCATGATGCAACAGGCTGACTGCTGCCTGCTGCTGTTGCTTTTCTCATCACTCATGTTGCTCATTGGGTGAAATCACCACAGCAAAACGTAGGCAGCCAATCCATGATCAGAACACATGAGACCATCACAGGCTGGATGTATATGTAAGAGACACATTAATAAACTCCACCATGATGACATACCCTGCAGGGTTGTGTTATGTATTTTAAAGCTGACCTCATTTAACTGACATGTGCTTGTATATATGTATTCAGGTTAAGAGTTTAACTCAATTGTGTATACTTAATTATTAATTATTAAATAAAACTAGTGACCTGACTGTTGATCATTAAGATTAGGAGCATGACTGTATTTAATTTCATGACAGACTAACAGGAAATTGATCGTTCTTTAGTCTCTGTTTAAACAGAAATTTTAGTGACTTGTTGGTGCTAAAAGAACAGATCAGGGCATTCCCGAAATAATTAGTCTTCTTTACTATCCTTTGGGGGCCATTAACACCATGCTCACAATGACAGTGCTAACATGCTGATGCTACGCAGGTGTAATGTTTTCTTTTGTCATCATCTCCAGCCCTGTTTAGATGGGGCTAGTATTACCCGGGGACCTCTGGTATTTTCTAATAACTGCTGAGGTCGTCTGTGATCTTAATCCCTTGTGAATCTGCCATGTCTGTAATTTTTCAAGTAAAAATTCCACCTCAAATTACCTATCATACTTTGCCAGACACAGATTGTGAGGAAATATTAGTCTTGTGGGCATTGGCATCTCTGTGATTTGGCGTCACATTTCGTTTTTTTGTATTCTCCCCTCCTTGTTTCTGCCTCTATTTTGGTCAAGACTTATGGAAGGTGTGTTGGCAGTTGTAAATGAAAGTTCTAACAGCATCTTTGGGTCCGATCACAGAAAAAGCAACCTGATGTGGTGCCCTTTAGTGTTCCTGTGTTGTGTAGAGTGAAATTACAAATGACTGAATACATCATATGCGTGGGATAGTTTCAGTAAATTCAAATAAAATACAGACTTTACTCATCCCGTGCTAATGTGCTGCATCAGGGGGTGGGGGGGATTTCTAAATCCTGTGAGGTTCCCTGGTACTTCTAGGTCTGTGTCAATAGGGCTTTAATTTAATACTGCACCAGGTTTCGGTACCCATCCTCACTTGGCATACGGGAGAAGTTTCAGTCCTGCAACCTCACCTCTAGATGCCACTAAATCCGACACACTGGACCTCTAACACAAAGAACAGCGGAGGCTAACAGGAATGTGATTATTTTTGCAGGTATGTGGACATAAACCAAAGTACTGGACAAATTAAAAAACTCATCATAGTGGTTGTTATTCATCCTGAGGAGACACAGGAACACACGTACAACATGTTATGGCAATCCATCAAATAATTGTGACTATATTTTATTGAAAACCATAAATGTGAACCTCATGGTGGTGCAGGAGTAAAAGTCAGAATATCACGAAAATCCATGAATGTCTGAGCAAAACGTAGTTTCAAAGACCAGCAGTATCATCCATAGATCCATACAGCCAGCATGGCTAAAGATATGAATATAAATGTGACATGAAACAATAGAACTATTGTGAGAAACCCTCAACAGTCTGCATCAGTGAGGCAGTTGTGGCTCTGGGAAAATAAAATGAAAGAACAAAATGTGCGACTGTACATATGGTGTAGCCTACAGATGTGTCGTGGCACGCAGAAGAGCTGTACACTTATATAAGTTGCAGATGAGTACATTAAATTGTGCGGAATGTACTGTGCTGACGGCACGCTACCCACACTCACAGCCTCTAATTTGTTCCATATATCTGCCAGAATGAAAAAAGCTCTCTGTAATGACGCTTTCATTTCCACAGAAGTGAGAGTTATTCTAAATACAGGAGCAACCTGAAGCTGTGTGATCACCTTAATGAAATACAAATTAATCAAACATGCCAACTGTATAAATATGCTTATGATGTGGTGTCACTTGTGCAGACATGGCACGCAGCTGATCAGTCAACATGTTTTCACCACATTGGTGAGCTTACTAAGTGTTGTGAAAACAAAACTCTCTTTATCAACTAAAGTAAGACAAAGGAGCTGGTTATTCATGATCAGCCTGTTAAAGCAGTGGAGGTGTTCAAATATGTTTTTTTTTTATTGCACTGTAGGTTTTACAGCCAACACAGAAAACATGTTTTAAAAAGCAATGCAGTGCTTGTATCTAATCAGGAAATTAGATTAATACATTATGAGCAAGAGCATCTTAGGGCGCATTCACACCAGGATGGTCCGGGGGACTCGGTTCGATTGGGCGGGGAATGCTGAAAAATTTCATACCTTCATTTGGTACGGTTCACTTTCACACTGCACTTTTTAAAGCGGACCAAACCACCTGGACAATGTCACACAGTTACAACAACTGCTTATCTGGGGGCAGTATTGCCCTGAAACGACCACTGGCCAGGAAGAAAAAAAACATGAAGAAGAAGAAAACCCAGCTCATCGATTGGCCACAAGCAACTGCGATATATAGTCCTCTGACCATATATCAGTAAGCGCCTGCACCTCCTCACTACTCTACGTCTGCCCACGAGACATTTTCCAATTTTTTCTTTTTTTTTTTACCTCTGCTTCTCTCTGTTCACGCTGTTGGCTTTGTTTTTTTTCTACCCAAAATGCACTGCGCTCTACATCACTTCCTCTCTTTGGTTCACTTCCTCTCTTTGGTTCGCTGGACAGTCCGTTTGCACTTCCCACTGTAAGCGAACCGCACCAGGGTTCAATCGCAAGTGAACCAACACCCCCAGTTTTCAAGCGGACCAGGGTACGCACCAGAGTTCAAATGAGCGTTCGCACCACTCCAAACGAACCACTATCTTTGGAAGGGGACCAGGGTTTGTTTATAGCAGACCAAATAGCGCCAGTGTGAATGCGTCCTTAGAGACTCTTGTTGAAAGTTTCTTTAACATGTGTACCTGGTAAGGACACCTGTGAGGCTGAGAATGAAGACAGATGGTCCAGAATTACATACAAACATGGACAGTAAAATTATTTGGAAAAAGCAGAAACAGCTGGGATGTGCACATGAAACACGGGTGGAACAAAAAGCCACAAAAATTGTTGCTGATCCTGTTCATCCTCTTTTTTAAGAATTTAGAAAATTGGCCTCAGGAGGACACTCCAGAACCACTGCAGCAACAAGAAACATTTACAGATAGTCTGTAATAATAGGGCTGGGCGATATGGACAAAAATTCCTATCTCTGTATTTACAGGCTGACTGGCATGTACAATACATACATGACATATATCTTGGTGTTTTCTACGAAATGGGCTACATGTTTTCAGTTACAAGTCAAAGCCACATTTGAGATGTCACAAGCACTTTTTATAAAAACAGACTGTGATCATGATAAAATGCAAAGACAGGGATTTTTCGCCATATTTGAAAATTTACAGATGCACAACATGTAAATGAAGGTTTGCAGCACAGGACACAAACTATAACATGAGTAAAAATGTATCAAGTAGGTCTAAATCCACTGTAGTTTCACCGCCTTAACTTTCTTTCTTATCCTGCTGCGTTTCCCCCTGATGCCACCTGGTGCCATAAAACTGTAACAGCAACCAGCTGCGTTTCATGCCGTTGTTAAAGGACAGCTTTTTTAGTCTGTGTCTGACACCAGAAAACACTGCCCAAGTGCTGGATTGCGACAAATCCCTTGTGAGACTGGGTTAATATATTGGACATACAAATTCAAAAATAACAGCATCTCTGAAATTACGTTAAATCTATCTTCAACTACCAGTTGTGTGATGAAGCTAAGAAGCCCCAAGTTATTTTTTGTGAATATGTATTGCATGAACAGTGTAGTTGATTTTGGCTGTTAACAAGACCAAGTGGCTGAACAACCTTTTTACGAAGTGTATTGAAAAGTCAGAGAGGGTCCTGACATTCTCTTGGATGCCACCTCAAACACAATTACAGACCAAGTAACGCCCCCATGGCAACACGCTCACCGATGACAGTGCCCCCACTAGCAGGACAATGAACCATGTCACACTGCATAAACTGCTGAGGAATGGCTCAAGGAATGTGACAAAAAGCTCAAGGTGTCGACCTGGGGCCTGTTGTTTGAAAGTAGAATTATCCAATCCAGGATATGTGGAAAAGTGAGGCTGGACAAAGTCTCATAAGTCCATCCTGGCTTAATTGGTTGTTCGAACGGCAAGCTAGACTGAGGAGGAGCGGCTATGTCAAGCCAGGTGTAACTTATTCAGGTGAGTGCGCGTCCACAGCTTTCTTAAATAGACCCCATGGGTCGATCACAGTTTCACTGATGCACCAATGGAGAGGACATGTGCGGCTTACTTCTCGCCCAGTGAGCAGCGTGTCATCATGGACGCTTATGAGGAGGTTCAACACATAATAACTAAAAAAGGAAACAGCAGCAATTATTAAGCAGAGAGAAAATGTGTGGCAGACACTTGCGGACCGACTGAATGCGTTAAGTATGCTATTCTAAAAATATACACTTGCTGCGCAAATGAATCTGTCATAATTACAATTCACAAATTAACCGTTGTACACACTACATAATGTATAAGAAGTCAGTGATGTGGTGCTCATAGAAAATATATTTGTAGCATGATACAGATGCTGAACAGCCTGACAGCCTGCCTGGAAATATAGTGAGTATTGCCAATTGCTGTGCTAATAGATATGTGTTTTACAGAATTCACAAACTGTCAGACAGCTATATGCAAGTCATCTGATGAAGCAGATAGGGCTGGCAGATGTCAAGCTCCAGTGTGAAAAGAGAAAGCTGCAGGACATGGAGCTTGACAGACAAATAAAAAAAAAAAAAAACTTTAACTGGACTTGGAAATTAAGAAACTACAGAAAGAAGTAAGTGACTTTAATCCACACTGTAAGCATGACTGTGATGCAATGTATTAATCAATGTTATTTCTCTCTTTCTCTCCACAGTTCAAAGCAGACACTGACTGATTACAGTATTTTTCATCTAAATAAAATGAGGTCAAAGAATATTGTGGTTTCATCTTCATGTTTTCATTCATTAATGTAAAGTACACTGGAGTTATTGGTCCAGTTAACTGGGAATGTAATTTGGGAAGGTCATTCAGTTATGAA